TTGAATCAGAATAAACTCAAAACAAGAATAAAATGATATACTCACTCTCTAAATGTGTTCGAGATTTAAAGTTGTATGAATAAAACGATTCATCTTTCGAAGCCTCCCATTTAATGAGAGACTTCGAAAGATGAATGTATTCATGTAGATGAAATACTATATATGACCATGTGTGATACTAAAGATATCAAAATGTTCATTTTTAAGTGCAATAGAAGGGTTATCTCTCGTAAAATCTCAATTTAAGGAAGATTTAGAAAGAACTCCTTTCCTAAGTAGATAGTGTGTGGTTTCTGTCTTTTGGTTGATCAGGAACTATGAAATTAAGTCGGACAGAAAGAAGTTCTTTCCAAAACAGACTCCAAATGAGTTGTTCGAAAAGAACTTCCTTCTGTATATGGATAATTGTAGTTACCGCACTGAAGTATGTGATTGTGATGATGGAGTTCTCGATAAATCTAAAATCGGATTAAGATTAATTGAAAACTCAAGTAATTCTTTGAAATCTTGTGTTGTCTGGCACTATAATAACCAAAGAATGAGAATATTATGTTGAATGATGAGTACGTGTGCTCGGCATTCGCCGAGCGAATTGAGTTTAACGTACTATGAAAAGTGACAAATTTGGGCTTTTTTTCCTAGGGTTATGATCTCTTCCTTTCTGCTCAATACGACAGAAATGAAAGAATGAATTTGTACTCCCTAATTGATTACTACAATCTGTATCTATCTTTAACATAGAATTAGCTGCATTGTGATTTATACTCCAGAATTATTCAATTTAAGATCAACCTCGTAAATTTTAATCATATTGCACCAATACTCCTACGTTGAGATAAGAACATGATTATACATACCAAAGCCCCATATTAAAAATCAAAATTTAGCACCTCCATTATGCAACCACATTATTCGTCGCAAATAAGTATATTTACGCATATTATGATGCATATTCACACAACTCGTATACATGAAAAGTTATTAAAATCAGACAAAATTATTGCAATAAGGAAAAAAAAACAACTTTATTATATATGTTAGTAATGAATTACAAATATTTCTACAAAGAATGCTCAATACTTCATATAATCTTCGAATATTTCTTATTACAAGTTAATACATTTTGACTCGAACATGATAAACAAAAGCTGACACGCTGATTACTACATTTATGAAAATATAGTACGTTTCCATTCATCTGTTTACGTGTTTTTGTTGGAATAAAATCATTTTTTTTTTTTCATGAAATAAGAATTTTGCTGCGAAAGCAATATCTCTAACAATAATTAATACATTACGTCAACTCTGGAATGAGTATTTATCAAATATGATATCAAAATCAAAAATTAGTTGTTTTTTATGAGTAAAAACGATGTAAATTGATTATTTGACTAATTATCAAATACTTTGATTTTCCAAATTTTTTTCGAAATTGATTTTTTCATGTGAAAATTCAAATTGTTTAATTTCATTTTTGAAATTTTGAATTTTTTTTGGAATTTTGAGTTGATCAATTCAGCAGAATTGATAATGCTATTGCTTTAGGGCATACCACAAGGTGATGAATAAAAGGTGAACATTAACAAATTATTTTAAATCACAAATATCATCCTCATCAACTTTAATTCTAAAAAGAACTGTACTGAATTATGAAAATGCATGATTTACATTATTAAAATCTTTGAATGAAAATAGTACAAGATAAGTTTTTATTCATTTTTAATTAGATTTAAACGAAAAACTACTCCATATTAAAATTTAAGTCGAGAAATCGTATTTTGTTCTTATTTGTTAGCATTTTGTAGACATTCTAATCTTGAATTAATTTGTTACATGATATTATTAACAAATTTAACTGAAAAAATATGTTAATATGGAATAAACCATGATTATATAAGCTATCAATGCTATATATACATATGTAAAAGATTCATATTAACTCAATTAACAAAAATGATAGATTTTCATAAAGGTTCAATCTAGGTTCGTCCGAAAATTTTGATTTTTATATAGAAGACATAGTTTCATATACATAATTAAATTTTCAAACAAATTTGATCATACCATTTATTAAGCAGGATAGTATATTAATTACTATCAGTATAAAAATATAAAAATGATTATATTTAATTATTGCATAATTTAGTCAAAGAGTTATAAGCCTCAAGTGATCGTTATCACCTTCAATGCACGTATACTTTATTGATTCATAGATATTTAATCTATGTTTGACATGTTGTTGTCGTCATTCGTTTTGTTCCCATTCTTCCTAAGTTAGAATTAGAGAATACACCATCCACATCATCTAATTTGGTCCTCAGCGATAGATTGGTTCATTTTGGAGGAGTCCCATCAGACAGTTTTCGAGCACCAAATATCAAATTTTAATGTATACAAATCTTTAGTGATTTATCTCTTTTATGATGAGTAAAAGGTTTCTGCTCATCAACATTTGATTTCCGACATATATGATTTCTAATTGCAATTATTTACTTTCTTTTTATAATCTAACTCTGTGACTCATACCATAAATTAATTATTGGAAAGTGTCAATATGTTTGGCACAACGCATGGCGGAAGATACCAAACCATGCAGGGAATATGATACGTTTAAGATCTCCGAACTTTTTTTCCAAAAATTTTCTATCGTTGCCCTACCTCTTTGATGAAGTTTCTTCAGAAATTTTTGGTCATGGTACTGATAGTTCCTATTGATTGATTCATCGTTTCATGATCATTTAATCGTATTAAAACAATCAATTCGATTTAACGTTTCATTTTTCATTCAATTTATAGAAATCCAACTAAAATTGAAATTTTAATTTTTGATGATAATTATAAATTCAAATTCGTCTTTGATGAAGTTTCTTCAGAAATTTTTGGTCATGGTACTGATAGTTCCTATTGATTGATTAATCGTTTCTTATATGTATGAAATATTTCATAAATTAACATAATTATCACGGACTTCTTTTCATTCGCCGAAACTTTAATTCTGTGATTAATTCAGCTAAATTTCCTGAATTTTAGTGCGTATTTAGGAGAACAAATCAATGACTTAAAAGATTACATACAATGCATTAAATTTATATAGAATTCAAGTACAAATGATATAAGGTGAGTTAATTTCAGAGATTATCTGAAACAATCAACATTTTTTAAAATTTAAGATATAAAAATGTCACATTCTTCAAAGTAATCCGCATCCAATTTAATTTAGATCTAAAACGGTCAAAAATTCTCATGAAAATGAAATTTGTGGATATAATCCCAATCATCTAGATGTTTATCAATATTATCCAATCAAATTTATAAATATCAGCATTTAATTACTCATGTATCTGAATTGATTAGATATTTTTTTCAGAACTGAGGTTGAAGCGACTTAAAGACTTTGATATTCATTTTTCATATTCTATGAACACCAATTTCATATTTTTTCAAAGCATTTCTCTCTAGTCATTTCAATGTCACTCTTCGACGAAAATGTTCTCATTAGAGATTGCGGAAAAAATCTCACCAAAGGAATGAACGTTTGCCAACTAAGGGTTGGTGGTCAGAAATATTCATTCCAGATTGCTGTTAATGGATTTAATCAGGCTATTGATTTTCCACTGTTACAAGCTTCATATTTTAACAATATGTTCGGAT